AAGCCAATAAAGAAACCAACCAGCGTTATTTACAGGCTCGTAGCGATGCCGTCAATCGGGGCAATAAGAGACAGTCGTCCCACATTTGGTAGAAATGTAGCAGCTAAAGTGAATACTGGCGTAGAGTTCAACATTTTTAATATCTATGTAGCAAAGAGCAAGTTAAGAAATCATACATTTATTTCCTCTAAAAATCCCTGAAAAAAGTATGATAAGTGTCATTTTGGGAAAGTAACACTGTCTGTAGCAAAAAAACTTATTATCCGTATTAAAGAAAATTACTTAAATGGAAGTTGCAGGTGCTGGCTCAAAAACGTGGATGACGGAATTTGCGTATCACATTAAAAAAAATGGGTAACAAGGGACACCCCACCGCGGTAATAAGGGACACCTCTAAACATGCATTTACAGTGGAACCTCGATTAGCAAAGGTGCCAGTTGATGAAAAAAGTAATTAACAACAAAAAATTTTGATTACATTTACCTCGCTCGGTAAAAAAATTCATCAATTCCAATTCAGGGCAGTCGATCCCCGTCAAGGACTTGCCCCCCACCCCCCCAGGATCCCACACCAGGCAATAAGCCCTCTGGTGCCTCGCCATGTTGGCGACCGACAGCACCCTGTTGCACCCCGGACACCGAGGAACTCTCCCCCTCCCGACTCTCGCCTGTTCCTTCACCCATCCCTCCACACCGGCGCCAACGTTTCGTCCTCTAGCGCACCCTCTCACATGCCTCCCCTTCCCGACCCTCACCCTCCCCCTCCTGACTCTCACCGGCTTCTTCCCCCCTCCCTCCACACCGGCGCCAACGTCTCGTCCCCTAGCGCACCCTCACACATGTATTCCCCTCCCCCTTCCCGACCCTCACCCTCCCCCTCTCGACCCTCACCGGCTCCTCCCTTCTCACTCCACACCGGCGCCAACGTCTCGTCCCCTAGCGTTCCCTCTCACACGCATCGAGTAATTTCCTTTCGTTATCCATACATTACACCTTCCACAGTGCCTCGTGTCTCCTACTACAGGGTCCGCCATATTTTTGGCAACGGATGTTTGCTATATAAAAATAAATTTGTTTCTAGGAGACTTTTCTTTTATAATGAAGCTTAATATCATCTATTAATTCATCTAATTTACATTACAGAAATCTAAGGTGTCTAAATTTACTATTACTTATGGCAGGCAGTAGATAGAAATGCAACTGTAACCATTCATGAAAAAGGCGAAAGTAATTCAGTCATTGCAAAAAAGCTCCAAATTCGTCGTGAAACTGTGTGGAAGGTGGTAAAAAATTCAAGGCAACTGGTGAAACATGCAATCGACGTGGTCAAGGAAAAAAACGAAGTGCCCGAACAAAAAAATTGGTCAAAAAACGAGGGAGAAGTTGAGGAGAAACCCTCGTCGCTCAGCTGCAAAATGGGCTGCAGAAGCAGGAGTCAGTCAGACATCAATGAGTAGAGTCCTCAAAGATGACCTCAAAATATCCCCTTTCAAGATGCAAACAAGGTATGAACTAACAGACCGTCATGAACGAATGAGGCTCGAAGGATGCCAGCACATTCTGGATCTCAATGAGGATGGCATGCTGCCCAACTTGGTGTTCAGAGACGAGAAAATATTTGACATTGAACAAAGCGTTCACCGTGAAAATGACAGAGTTTGGAGTCGGGATGGATCTGTGGCAACCAGAACAGCAACACGATGTCAAAATCCCATGGCCGTGATGGTTTGGACCGCGGTAACCACCCCTGGGAGGTCTTCACTCGTTTTTGTCCCCTGAGGAGTGAAATTGAACAGTCAGCGATACATTTAGGACATTTTGGAAGCTGTGTTGTTACCTTGGGCCCGTAAACACTTACATGGGCCGTAGACACTTGGGCCAGTTAACACTTCCAATTGCTCACCATGGAGTTTTCAACAAGTCTCTAACCCATCACATGGCTCAAACATGATCAAAAACTGGATTCAGGGTCGCATCCCAGCGTTCAGTGGCAGAAATGAATGGCCCTCAAGAAGCCCTGGTTTGAATCCTCTCGACTTTTCTATGTGGGCTATTTTAGAGGGTAGGGCCTGCAGAACACCTCATGAATCTTTGGATAGTTTGAAGTCTAAATTGACACGAAAATTGGACTTGATCCCTCAAGAAATTCTTCGTGTCTCGTGTGATTCTGTGAAGCTTTTCCGCGTAGATTAGAGGCCGTCATTAAAAATAAGGGTGGTCATATTGAATAAATATGTCTGAGAATTTTTCAGGTAACTCTTGGCTACTAGCTCATCCAATAAAAAAAATGCACCTGTTTGTTTCATTTAGAAATAACAAAAAACATGAGTTGCCATAAATATAGCGGACGTGTACATTCGCTCCACCCGTCCATGTCCACTCATTATTCACTCTCGCACCCTCCGTCTCAACACTTATACCACATATACTGCACTAAAACCTCACTCGCACTTCAGCTACTCTATGCATGCGCTTCTGGTGGTTGGTCAGGCCGCCTTACATTGGCAGACCTTCCACATCCCTCAAACAAAATCACAAAAAATTCACTTCACAAAAAATTAATGCATCAACAGTCATCACAAAATTGTGCATAGAATGTTATAGATAGAATCGTGCACCGGGTAAAATTGAATGATAAGTAATTAACCTAAACTATGATTTATTTCTCCAAAAAATATGATGGTTGTCATTAAAATATTACTTTCTGTTTCAGGTATGTTTTTTACGATCTTTTTTGTTATAGTGAATCCACTTAACCCAATAAAATGGTGTGAAATTACAAGCCGTCCTGACAGCTTACAGATACAGAAAAAATGCTATAAGGCTGCTGATATGAAGCTTGCAGTGGACAAGGTCGTTTTAAATGTTCAATAGCATGTTCATGGATACAGTAATATCACATCAACAATACGGTAATGTATGGATATGGTAATCAATAAAGGACAAACGTGCAAAAATCACAGAAAATGTCAATTATTCTCCATCTACATCATCTAAAATGGATGAGGAGGACTTCAGAGTACCTACTGTTAGTAATGGATGACTGCACTTTGCATGCTTCAAACGTTTCAAAATTTAGTTTTATTTCAATTGTCCCAGACTACCCAGTTCCCAGAGCTAATTCGGCACGCTTATTTTACGTGTGGCACCTTACGTATAGCATATGGATTTTTCTCGGAGTTGCCTTACTATAGCCCTTGCAGAGAGCTTTAAAATGAGCCCAAATTTGTTTATGAAATGTTTCATGGTAAGAAGTTATTAACGAAGAACGCTCAGAAACGTCCCTAATTACTCCATTTGATAATAACCTATAGGCATGAGCTCGAAATTAAGCTAAAGAAAGCTTATAGTAGCGCATTAACTGATGAGGACTTGAACAGTATTTCAGCTATTGAGGAGCGCCCAGTCGGCACTAAATTAACAAGTTTGGAAATACGAGAAGAAAAGGTTCTCAAGCGACTGGTCGCACTAAATCCCAACAAGTTATGTGAACCGGACGGCTTCCACCCCTGATTACGGTAAGAGTTAGCAACCGTCTTAGCCGGCCCTCTGACGTAATTTGTTCAAAAAACATGGAACGAAGGGATCTTGCCGGTTGAGTGGGAAGAAGCTCAAATGACAATGTACACGGTGATGTAGCACAGATGAAATTGATCTTCATGCTTAGGTAATCCAAAATCTTGTCCGCAACTTTCCCATGAGGAACTATGTTCCTACGTGACAATAATTTAGATGTCATTCCTTTATCATTTCTCGTACCATCTCGTATCTTCCGGGCAATAGGATTGGATAACGAAATTCCTCTCTGTCGTCGCTGTTTAAGATCGCCGTCTTGACTCTTAATATACCCTCAGGACCTTTCACAACAGGAAGTGTCTTGGTGTAGTTTTCGTCTAAGCCATCCTTCTGAATGTATCTAATCAGTTGTGACTCTGCACGATGTAACTCCGACAAACTTAATTGCTTCCCAACGTGAATGAAATTCTTCTTGTCCTTCAGGAACTCTATAAATCGTATCCTTTGTGACTTTGTGACAAACCCACTCTGTGGGTTTGTTGGATCTAGGCCATTGATCACGAAATTTGAGCCAAGTTGGGCCCTCCCACCACCCAGTCAAGCAGGTCTTGATCGATCGATGAAGATTAGGGCGGATCGATGAAGAAATTAATGCAGATTCTTGCTCGATCGACAATGGCAAACCCCCATTTGGAGTGGGCAACGGAGAGGGCAATGTCGCGGGGCGCAACGACGATTATTGAGGAACTTTCTTTGCCGATTCAGCGAAGATCGTCGAAGTTTCTGTGCCTGATAATTTGTTGAATCGAATAATCTGCATCGATCGATGTTGAATCTCAAGTTGTTGTAGTCGAATCTGCATCAATCGACGTTGAATATTCATTGATCGACGCCGAATCTTCAGTATTCGACGTCAAATCTACATTAATCGACGCCGAAAATTCATTAATCGATGTCGAATTTATAATGTTGCGATGCTGATTAGATACTATTCGATGCTGAATATTAGCATTTTTTCACGCTCTACTGAATCGAATATAATGAATTCTACTCTTTTAACTGAACATAACTTTACACGCCAGTTGAATAAAAACAGACCAATTCACTACAAGTTACTTTCACTTTACATTCTACGCACTAATCTACGTAGAATTTGTTAAAATCCTATTAAGTTTTGCTTCTGGTAGAAACCTTTAAAATGACTTACGCGCACAATTGATATGAGTCAATAATGATTTTCAACGTTTATAAAAAAATTTTCATGATGAAAAGTTATAGGTATTTTATACCTGGCACCGTCCATACTAAATTAATAACATGTCTCAATTTGTTCATAAAATATCGGTAAAATGTCGTGCGATTCTATCCCAGACACCTGTTGAATAAAACGACCGTGTTAATAAAACGACAGTGGCTTTTTACTACTTTACTTTCGACAGGTTAGTCGACAGTTGAAATAGGAGTATTACTCCTTATATTACTGTTATTTATTACTCCTTTATTTTACAGCTGCATTTCCATTTTCAGTTTATGTTCCTGTTTTTACCTAGGTTCAATTTAGTCAACCTCGGTCAATGAGCTACCTCACTATGGCATGACATTAAATAAAGATCATATGCTAAGCATTAAGCAAGGAGAGAAACTTGATTTACTGGCCACATGCGGATCCCACCAATTTTGCTACCATAATATTGTCACTGCAAGAAAGGTAATAATGATCACACACTTACACGTGACATTTCCTAGTTTTCAATGGAATCATTCCATACATCACCAGTTGTAGAGTTTCCTGCAGAGGGACTAGGCTGTTCGACTTCATCATAAGTTATGGCTGCAGCGCCAGCTCCCTCAATATCGGGAATTGAAACGGTGGATGGTAGGAAGACAGGACTACGCTTACCGCTGCCTGATCCAGCAGGTGATGTACAAGAAATTACACCTGCAGTAGATACGGTCGCACGGAGAGGTGATGAGCCGACACCCGACAGAGATGCTGCAGCATCAAGCCGTAACTTTCTTCCTCCATCCCAATCCCGCGCACCTCGGAGTGCGGCCTGGATGTGGTTTACGAGCACTTCCCTCGTGTCCTTCATTTGCAATGCGGCTGCATCACCTGAAAATTGGTGAGGACAAGGTAATTCATTGGTCATCTCGACGGCAATCATAAGAAAGACCATAACAGGATGAAGGATTAAAAACTTTCTGATTTCGATGTAAATTCTGAGCGGTCTAACTATTAAAACAAGCAATAAACTTACAGAATCGTGTGGAATCTATCGGCATTCAATCGGTTTATTGCACGTTCAATTGCGTTCAGGAACAATATAGACAAAGCAATGCAGCAGTACTGTTCAGACGTGAAATGCTTAGCAGCTTCCGGACCTAGTATAAGCCCAGTAGCTATTTCCAATCAACGTCAGTTTTGAATGATCTGCTCAAAACGGCAGTTTGCAGATCTCCAGTGAACAAGTCACGAAAAATAAAGAAAAAATCAGCGACAGGCCATGGGCCTTTATATTGAGCGCCGAAACAACTATACTATGCTATGAGCTGATCAACATTATGAGCTTAAGAGGAGCATGCTCGTCAAAAATCTAAAATATGGACTCCGGTTTTTAGGCTCATTTTTAAACGTCCACGAACAGCGCCTTTAAAGAGCCCAAAGTTATGTTTATGCGTTAATTTGTTCGTTCACGACAGCCTTTGAAGCGCAAGTAGTACCTAGACCTTCAATGAGGACAAATTTTAAGTCTTTTGGCTCTCATGAAAACTTGAAATTTTCCTGAAAAATATGACTTTCACGCAACAACATTTAGAGGTGCACCATTCGATTTGTAAAGAACTGATCTAGCCATCATCCTACCATTTTTTCTGATTTATTTTATTTCTTTGGATTATATATTGAAAAATGGGGGGAAAAGGGGCCAAAATTAAAAAAAAAAAATAGAAAAATAGGTAAATTGCAAAAAGTGATCGGATGATTGTTTGATCATCCGATTTAGCACTATGGTCCGTAAAGACGCTATGGTCTTTACGAATCGAATATGTCTCTCCAATATGTCTTTCACGTTAATTGAATGAACTAATAGATTTTCACAGTGACCCCCTTTTATTCTTTGAATTGGACGTTTTCTCTCATCCTTTCGAAAAATTTACACGAACAAAAAAAGTCTTAGATTTCTGTTTTATATATGTGTACGAAGTTTTAAAATGATCCGTCTGTAAACAAAAATAAAATGGTGACGCTAATGCTCCCCTTAAACTGTGAGCAGAAACAATAAATCACGAATAAGGACGGTATCCCTAACACCAATACCCACCTAGAATTCGCGTGCATAGGAGGTGACTCCCAAATGCTTGCTTTGAGGCAGTTCTTTTCTCTCCCAAACCCGTAAAGCTGAAGTGAAGTGCCAAATCGCGTGACATGCAGCGCTTCAGCACTCTCCTCACCGTCATCTTCGAGTTGCTTCCGATGTAGGGTTGTAACTTTTGAATCTGTATGGTAGAAATTTTTAGAACTTCCAGTTCAAAAAGCACAATCTCGCTTACTGTTGATGGTCATTACCAAGCATTGAAATGAAAATATAGTTATTTATAAGTACGCATATGCATTTCCAAATGCATGTAGGCAGTATGTTTACTTTCATATTTATGTATGTCGGCACCATGTAAGCTCAGGTCCCAAACACATGTTGTATAGATTATGTTGGCTCGTTTTGTACCCACCAGGTTTGGATCCTTAGCAATATTATCCAATTCAGCCATTGAAGTGGCTGGCGCCTGCAGAGCTTCAGAGGCACCCACAGACTTCATTTCCGCTAAGGAAATCAGGTGACTCAGTTGCCTTTCCATCCTGTCCATTTTATTTGCTATTGCAAGATGATTTCTGCTCTGTTCCTGCTCGATACGTTCGATGCGTTCCATCCATTCCTCTGGGAGAGCCTCACGCCTGTTGGCATTCAGGTATGAGAAGAATCATTGTGTGTAACAGATAACATGTCAAATAATTATAAATTCTCTGAGAGAATTTGCTTATTGAATTAATTCCAGTAAACACTAAAAGAAATGTAATAAAACGGATAAAAATCTATTTTTGACTAAAGCTCTACGAAGAGTTTCTTTGAATTTTCCCTTACTAACAAGAAGCCTCAAAATAATTCTCACCTTGATTGAACGTCATCACACTCACTAGTGGTCATATTGTTTTCAAGTTTCTTCAACTTAAAGCTTAACTTACTGCTCAACAGGGCACTTCCTTGGTGCGGATGCGGGGGTGAAAGTCAAGACAGGTACAGGCGCGACCAACGGCTCAGCAACTTCGTCGTCAGCAGATGTTGACCCGTCCGTTAGGGTGTACATTTTGCGTTCGCACTTTGCGAAAGTAGCTGTAATAACAAATATCACGTTAAGAAAATTTTACGTTTCACATATATATCTGTACACATGGTGAATTCTATTTTAACTTTACCCCGTTTATGAAAAAATCTGGAATGTTGGGATCACTCGAAGGAATATGTACATATTTTCTTAAATAATATGCGATTATAAATTACCTTTTAAAGACAAAACTTCGAAAGAATACAGTGTCTCTGATGTTACACATCTACAATGAATTTCTAATTTTATTATCAAATATTACATAAATTAATTTTTACATTTTATTTTTATAATTAAATATGTATATATTAAAATTTTCAAAATTTTACGCTAGTGAGAAAAATTTCAGATCGATTGGACAGGTAGAAGTGTGTTGAATATCGACTATAAGATTTGTAGCAGACAGAAAAACAAACAACAAGAAGTGAAGTTAAAGAGAAGTTTTGTAAAAATACCCACTTGTATGAGAATAAATTTCAAGAAACACTCTGAAAAAAACCGACATATATGTTAATCAGTTAGCAAATAGATATTATACTCACATGCTTCAGTCAAAATTTGGCAGTTGTATGTGGGCCATTTTGAGTTGGGTTCAATTTTGGCCTGAGCTTTGTGGTGTGCACTTTTTGCTGGCCAGAAACAAGACTTGCTTTCAGACGAAGAGCTCCCTGGAGTTAGCCAGCTTTTAGGAATTACGGCGTTGGTGTTATCGCCAAATACAACCCCTATAAATTCTTTCATTTTGTTAACAGATATTAGCACAATGAATGAAGCGTAGGTTAATCTGACTTTGATTAATATATTCTGTAAATTTGGAAGAAGGGCCGAGCGATGATAAGCAGTTAAAGGCAGGAAGTGACTAGACCGCAAAGTTGTTTTCCCTGATAATCAAGAAATTATACTATCTACTAAATTATATTAGTAAAGGTTTTGGCAGTAACGGTGCTGGTAGTAACGCTCCTGGTAGTAGCGGTGCCGATAGTAACGCTGCTGGTAGTATCGGTGCTGGTAGTAACGATGCTGGTAGTAAAGTTGCTGGTAGTAACGATGCCGATAGTAACGATGCTGGTAGTAACGATGCTGGTGCTGGTAGTAACGATGCCGATAGTAACGGTGCTGGTAGTAGGTGCTGGCAGAAACGAAGTGACTAGACCGCAAAGTTGTGTTCCCTGATAATCAAGAAATTATACTATCAGAGAATGTTGCACAGTGATAGCAACAAAAGATTTTCGGTATGGTAAGAGCATCATTTTATATTTTATTTCAGTGGCTGACAAAACTTGACACTCTTGTAACTTTTTTACCAAATAAGTCCCGAGTATTCTTGAGTCCAGTGGCTTCTCAAAAAATGGTTTTGAAATTTTAAATATTTGTACAACCACTTTCACATTGGTTGCATGTAAACGATTAATGTCTCGCACTATAGCGACTTGATCATTTTTCAATCGTACAACATTGTCCCTGCATCACAGAGATCCACGTTTAATTTCACAATCAGGACGGATTCTCAGTGACTTGAATGACTCTCCCACTGATTTTTCAGAGGATGCCAGCGCTTTTCTCTCGCATTTGAGGAGACCTGCTGTATTGCAAGTTTTGTGAGGGTTGTCATTGATTAAGCTTATGTGACTTGCAATTTGTTGAAGTGGTTTGTACCCTGATCTGACTGCTCCTTTTATTTGAGATCCCAAGTAGGACTCAAATTTAAATGCTGATACTTTATCAAGATTACCATACTTGGAGTAATCATCAACCAGATGCTGAAGAGAATGAACATTGTAGCTCAGGAAGCCTAATCCATAAATTTTTACAGCTCCTTCAATGAACCTGAGCAACAAGTTCTTTACAAACTCCATATGATCTTCCTGATGGTCAGTGGTCAAGAACCTCATTGCGACAGAAAACAGAATGAAATTTTCATAAATATCTGAGGTGACAATTTCCTTTGAGGCCAAAATGACTTGCCCCAAGTATAAAAGGAAGAGCCGGTACTCTGATCCCTTCCAGTTAGCCAGGTGTGAAAGGCCTCCATCACATTTGCGGTTAAAGTCGGATGGCACATGGCTGCTCATCTCAATGCACATATCATCAAATTTACTTTTGGAAAAGCTTCCAAGATGGGCTTTTTTGGAACCTTTTTTACTGGACTTCAATCTTCTCAGCAAACGCTTCATAACACCTAAGTAGCACAAGTGCATAACATCAAGCACAAAACCAGAAACCATAGGGAAATTAATAGCCTGTAATGTTGGGATCTTTTCTCTGTGATGCCTAGGATCTAACCGTTTGTAGAAACTCTCATCAGTCCTGACGGGACATGAGTTTTCAAACATAACGACATGCCCTTCTCTGTATACACCAACACTTACACAACGCTCACAGCTGTGATAAGCAGTATGTGGGACAATTGATTTCAGTTCTGCGCGAACAGGAGCGTCGCAAATGAATGGACCAAGAGAAACAGAAAAAGTACCAAGACAGCAGTCAAGAGAGTTTGACAAGAGTTTCATGTCCAACAGAAAAGCTTGAAGAAATTCTTCACAGGATGGCATTCCCTTGTGATTGCTTCTATTTGAACAGTAAATGCCCACAGTTATGACATGACCAGGAAATTCCAGAGGAGATACTAGGATAGGATAGCATGTATATTTAATTGTATTTTCATAAAGCGGAATACCATCAATGTTTACAGAGAGGCTGACATGTTTCACACAGCCATCACAATACTCTCTTTCAATGATAGATTTTATACTGGACACCCAATTAAAGTGCACATATTCACCACATGCCATTGAAACTACACGTGGAACCGGTGCAGCAATTTCAGTAAATTTGGACTTGAGAGTCCTATATGTCAGTGGTAAAGAAGGAAAACGTGGATTCAACATTTGCAATAATCTTGTTATGGAGTCATTCGGTACTATTTTTTCCTGTACGGCCCACTTACATAATATGTATCCTAAATCATTTACACATTCATTGGGATCAATATTAGGAATATTTTGGCTTGTACCGCTTGAATGTTCACATAAATGACTGGATAGGCTTGTGCTCACATCTTCTGGCTGTGCTAAAGTTGTGGAACTTGATTCTAGTGATGTATTACTTGAGTCAGCATTACTACTATATGGTGAAGCAGCCGGGGTAGTGACAGGTGACAGAGATGGACTATTTTCTATTTGCTCGATTTCTGGTTGTTGACTTTCCAATTCATGATTCACCAAACACCTAGAAACTATTCTTTGTTGCTGCCTGAGGGACAAGTCAGCAAAAGGCTTTCTTGACGACATCTCACAAATGTAATTATTATGATCTGCAGTGGACTGAGTGGAATACAATAGAACCAATAATTATTAGTTAGATAGTGCAAATACTTTTGGAGGTGAATAGGCAATAGATTTTTCTCATTGTTATTATATCGTATATATCTTACTTATTGCTTTCATTTGTTATTTCATACAGTACCGTTTCTATGATACGCACAAAAATTAATTCAATCTCATTTATTCACGTGCTACGTTGCAATGTTAATTAATTTGATTTTGCACAAATGAGAAATTCCATTTCATGTTGTGTCTTTTTCGAACATACTTTGGCACCAGGCAACCCTCACTTTCGAAACAGTAACTACAGCAGCAACAGTAACATGATGTAAATGATGGGAAAATGATGGAAAAATTTTAGAAAAATGTTGAAGAAAAGATATAAAAATGATGAGAAAATGATGGAAAAATGATGAGAAAACGATGGGGAAATGACGGTAAAATTATGAGAAGATTATGGGGAGATGATGGGGAACTGATGAGAAAATGATTGGAGAACGATTTGAAAATGATGAGAAAATGATGAGAAAATGATGGGAAAATGATGAGAAAATGATGAAAAAAATATAGAAAATGATGGAGAAAAGATGGAAAAATGTTGAGAAAGAAATGAGAAAACGATGGAAAAATGCTGGAAAATGATGAGAAAATTATGGGAAAATGATGAGAAAATCATGGGAAAATGATAGGAAGATGATGGAAAAATTATAGAAGAATGATGGAGAAAAGAAGGAAAAATGATGAGAAAAGGATGGGAAAATGATGAGAAAACGATTGGGAAATGATGGTGAAATGATGGAAAGTTATGGAAAAATGATTAGAAGATGATGGTGATTGGGGAAATTATGAGAAAATGATGGGAAATTGAAGTGAAAATTAAGGGAAAACGATGAGAAAATGATGGGGAAAGTAATAGGTACCTAACTGATAACAATGAATGATAAATTAAAAATAGTTAATGATAATACTAATTGATAAATGATAATAATAATAAATGATTAATAAATTAAGAATACTTGTACCAGGAGTAGTACTACTGCATCACCTAACTTCATTGGTCATTGCGGCTGCCGTCCCTAGCTTAGGGGCTAGGCTGACTAGCAGTAGCACTTGAATTTCACTAGTAAGTTTATCAGGGGCACAATGTAACGCTACAATTTTGTTACAATTTCATGTATCGATGTCTTTTAACCCTGTTTCAAAATGGCAAGGCTTGCAAATTTGGCTTTATTCACTGAACGCTTTATTCACTGAGCTCATTTCTATCACAGATCACATCGTCGCAAAATACGTGAGCTCTCCTCCAATCACTCTCCTACTGACACAGTTCATAGTAATTCATATACACAGGAACATTACAGGATACGAAAGACCAGCACTTATTAGAAGGACAACTTAGCCCGAGTATACTTGTAGCTGCACGATTGACGACACTATTGGAAGTTAGTCATCGATGAGCACGACTAGCTCGTTCGAGCTCGTTCAAACGGATGTCGTCTCCATGAGACGAGTGCTCGCATGGCGGGAGCACCTCCAAACTTTATACTGCCTTCAAAAAACGTGAGCTCTCCTCAAATCACTCTCCTAGTGGTACAGTACATGGTAATACAAATACGCAGGAATATTACAGAAAACGAAACACCAGCACTTATTAGAAGGACAGCTTAGCGCGAGTATACTTGTAGCTGCACGATTGACACTACTGGAAGTTAGTCATAGATGAGCACCACTCGTTCGAAGTTCGTTTAAACGGATGTCGTCTGCATGAGTGCTCACGTGGCGGTAGCACCTCCAAACTTTATACTGTCTTCAAAAAACATGAGCTCTCCTCCAATCACTCTCCTAGTGACACAGTAGATGGTAATTAAATACACAGGAATATTACAGGAAACGAAAACGATCACTTAGAAGGAAACTTAGACTAGAGCACTTAGGACAACTTAGACTAGAGCACTTAGAAGGACTTAGACTTAAGAGCACTAGACGACACTACTGGACGCGAATGATGCATCTACACGACTGGTTCGTTCTTCGACAGTTCGACAAACCGAGCGTCGTCTGCTTGAGTGCCCGCGCGACGGTTGCATTATAAAACTTTATACTGCCTTCAAAAGAATTCTTCTTACTTACTACTAACACTACTAAACTGCATAATAAAACTTCCAAACTCTAAATTCGAGTGCAAATGGACTAAAGACAAGTCGTGACGTATCTCATAACTTAAAATTTCAGGCAATTCTAAAGAAATAAATTATCTAAATTAAAACTCATGTAATTATATTGAATTATTTTTAGATCTTTACACAATTACACAAATGATCGTATTTTGACACGAGATCATTAACAGTTTCCGAGTTATGAACTAAAATAAGTTATATGAACTAAAGTATTTGTTGTCGGTGCGACCTTCGTTCGTTATTCGTTCAAACGAACGTTATCTTAATGCCCGCGCCATGCTTAGCCCTCAAACTTAAACTGCCTT